TTAGCATGTTAGCTCTGCATCATAAACGGCTCATCTTTATCAGGATTTAATCGCCTCTAAATTATCAAACAATATGACACAGCTAATAGTTCTAATGGTTTTGTAAGTTTTGTGATAATTATCTAATTCTAAGTTTGTATTTTGTGGCCTTAGACACAAAAAAATGACTTTTTCCCATTTTGATTTACATGTTTCATTATTCTTTAAACATTAAAGCTGAGTATACAGTAACATGTATGTTTAAATCCATTAAATGCAGTGAAATAAAGTCAGCTTTTATTCAGTCAACAGGTCGAGGTTTTAAAAAGTCTGCAGTGACTTTCTGAATGATGAAAACTTGAGCCATCAACCTTCAGTCTGTTAGGAAACAGCCGCTTCCTGTTTGCCGCTGAGCTGAAGGTATAAATGAGCCCAGGGCCCTCAGCGCTCCTCATTCTCCTCCTTCACACTTTGGCATCAGCGTTCGCTCATCATGGGGAACTTCGTCGCCAATGAGGGACTCTCCATCTTTGTCATCGTGAGCACATCACATATTTCTGTCATTTCTTATTTAAAACAACTTCTTTTCAGATACAGAATGAATTTATGTTGAAAATTCTGATTTGTTTTTTTTTTTTCATTTTTGGCATTTTTATTATTTTTTCTCCAATATTTGTGTTTTTAATTCCACTTTTATCCAGCTTGTATGGCTGGGAATAAACGCCTTCCTGTTCGTCCATTTCTACATGGCCTTCCTGGTGGATCGCTGGTTCTACACCAGGGTGCTGCTCGGGGTGAGTCCACTTTCTCACCCAAAACAGTCACTGCAATCAGCTTTAAAATCTAAATAAGTCATTAATTCTTAAAATAAGTGCATTTGATCTTGTATTGAGAACGTAAAAGAGACATTTTGCCAATGAAACAAGATTATTTAGATTTGAAATAAGAAAACACAATTGAATTGTCTTTGTTTAAGTGCATTTTATCTAATTATCTTATGTTAAGAGTAAAAATCCTCATTCCATTGGCAAACTATCTAATTTACCTAGTGAAATTAAGGGTAATTAAGACAATTTTACTTATTTCTAGATCGTTTTTCCAGTGCAGACCATTAAAGAACTTCTTTACACTGGAAAAACAATCTAGAAATAAGAAAACTTTTATTAAATTAAGTGTATTTTCCCTTAATTTGAGGAGGTAAATGAGGTAGTTTGCCAATAAAATTAGTATTTTTACTCTTAAAAAATAGATTTCGATTTGTTCTAGTGTAGAATTTAAACGCTTCCAAAAGCAGGAGACGATCTTTTTCATTTCCTCAAAACGCAGCTGCCGCCTAAACTTCTCAACCTCAGTGTCAAACCTGTGGGTCCACCCACGTCTTCGGCTTCTTCCTCTTTTAGCAAACTGCTCATCTGGAAAAAAATGAAAAGCTAAAATGATGAAGCTCCAGAGAGAAAGTTCAATTACACCAATAGAATATGAAGCCAAATAGACACACTGCAAAAGCAATCTGAAATTAAGTAAACATGTCTTAAATCAAGTGTATTTACCCTGAATTTGAGCAGGTAAATGAGATAGTTTGCCAATGGAATGAGGAATTTTACTCTTAAAATAAGATAATTGGATAAAATGCACTTGAAATAAGAAAATGTGACTGATTTTTCTTATTTTAAATCTAAATTGTCTTGTTCCATTGGCAAAAAGTCTCATTTATCTCCTCAATTCAGGATAAAATTCACTTATTTTAAGAAAAAAATGACTTATTTAGATTTAAATTTTTTGCAGTGCACGTTAGGCTTCACACTGGAAAAAATCAACATATAGTTAGGCAGGTTTTCTTAAAATAAGTGCATTTTTTCTTGAATTAAGTAGATAAGTGAGACACTTTGCCAGTGGAACAAGACAATTTAGACTTAAAATAAGAAAAATCAGTCACATTATTTCAAGTGCATTTTATCCAATTATCTTATTTTAAGAGTAAAAATATTCATTCCATTGGTAAATCATCTAATTTACCTACTTAAAATAAGGGAAAATACACTTAATTTAAGAAATTCGTACTTATTTCTAGATTGTTTTTTCCAGTGCAGGCTGCAGGAAGGAAAATAGGCATTTAAAATCCAGAGGAATCCAGAGTTTTACACTACAAAAACGAGCTAGAAATAAGTACAAATGTCTTAAATTAAGTGTATTTACCCTTAATTTGAGTAGGTAAATGAGATAGTTTGCCAATGGAATGAGTATTTTACTCTTAAAATTAGATAATTAGATAATATGTACTTGAAATAAGAGAATTCAACTGTGTTTTCTTATTTTAAGTGTAAATTGCCTCGTTCCATTGGCAAAATGTATCTTTTTACCTACTCAATTCAAGAACAAATGCACTTATTTTAAGAAAAAATTACTTATCTAGATTTTGATTTTTTGCAGTGTAGAAACAAAAACGGGGCTTTTTAGATTTTCTTCTAATTGCTACAGTATAAAAGATAAATATGCATAAATTTAACCTCGTTAGTATCTAGAGAAACATCTGAACCACGGTTGAACCTCAACCACCCGCTCTATGCAGCCATCATAAAGCTTGTGGTTCCATATCTAACCGATCTTCCTTACAGAGGGCTGCACCAGTTCCATTGGCCCACAGCATGATGGTTCACCCCTATGCTTCAGTTAAACACACTGGAAAAAAAATCTAAATCTAGATACATTTTTTATTTATTTTTTAAATAGGTGTATTAGTTCTTGGCTTGAGGAGGTAAAAGAGACATTTTGCCAATGGAACAAGACAATTTACATTGAAAAGGTTGAAAATACTAATTCCATTGGCAAATCATCTCATTTACTTTCTCACTTATTTCTAGATTGTTTTTCCAGTGTTTATTTTACATTTGGTCCAAATTTGGCACAAAATCTGGCAAAAAAATCTAGAAATTAGCAAAAAAAAGTCTTAAATGAAGTGTATTTACCATTTACCAGGTAAACAAGATGATCTTCCAATAGAATGAGTATTTTTACCCTTAAAATAAAATAATTAGCTAATATGCACTTGAAATAAGACAATGCAATTGTTTTTTTCTCATTTTAAATGTAAATTGTCTTGTTCCAATAGAAAAGTGTCTAACTTACCTCCTCGATTCAAGAAAAAAATGCCCTTATTGTAGGTAAAAATGACTTTAGATTTAGATTTTTTGCAGTTTGCTGAATGGACCATTTTACATACAGAAAGGGTCCTAGTTTCACAAAGCTTATGGTCAGAGATCTGAAATTTTACATAGCTGCTGTCCACAAGATGAAGAACAAGGGTATTAAGTGGGAGAGGTCAACTATAAATTATACAAAAGAAATTATAGGAAATCTTTAATTATTTCTAGATCATTTTTCCAGTGCATGCAGTCATTTTAGCTAAACTGGAAAAACGATCTAGAAATAATTTAAAATTTCTTAAATTAAGTGTATTTACCCTTAATTTCAGTAGGTAAATGAGATAGTTTGCCAATGGAATGAGTATTTTTACTCTTGAAATAATATATTTAGATAAAATGCACTTGAAATAAGACAATGCAATTGTGTTTTCTTATTTTAAATGTAAATTATCTTGTTCCATTGGCAAAATGCCTCTTTTATCTCCTCAATACAAGAACAAATGCACTTATTTTAAGAAAAATCTACTTCTCTAGATTAAGATTTTTTACAATGTAAACGTTTGTCGTCACATCCATGACAATAAGAAGCTGCACGCTGCCGTCCAGAGGAGCAGGTTCGGCTTCTTAATCAGGCGGCTTTGATGTGAATGTTTTTTTTTTTTCATGTGATAACAGGAGGTAACATTTTTACTGCTTCAGTGTTTATCACCTAATTTCTAGTTGTTAAAAACCACTTTTCTGCCAGAGACTGGAGGAAGTGCAGCTGAAGTGCAGATTAAAGCTGCGTTCTCCTCAGTAGAAGGAAAAACACTGTTCATGTTAATGTATGCATTAACTTTATCCCTTTGACCTGCAGCAAGCGTTGTCATGGGCGAGAGCTCCTGCTGCCTGCCTCAACTTTAACTGCATGCTGATCCTGCTGCCCGTCTGCAGGAACCTGCTGTCCTTGCTCCGAGGCTCCATCCAGGTTTCAACTCTGAAACACACTCAGCTTTTTACGCTCCAGTCCGTCGGCTGGTGTGTGATCGTTGTTTTGTTCTGTTTCGTTCTCAGTGCTGCAGCCGGACTGCAGCTCGGCAGCTCGACCGAAACCTGACTTTTCACAAACTAGTGGCCTACATGATCGCCTTTCATACAGGTACAGGTCTGAGAATCTTCACGACTGAAGGAACAAAAATTAACTACTGTATGTCAGGGTTTTAGAAATAAAATTACATTTCCTTATATATATATATATATATATATATATAGGGTTAAGAAAAAAAAATGAGGGGACCAAATACACGACCAGGTGGTGCTCCACTGAAAGAGATTTTCTTTTTTTTCTACAAAGACACAACAATTTACTACTGTGCATCAGAGTTTTAGAAATAAAGTAACATTTTATTTAATATTATTATTATTATATTTATTGGGTTGAAAAAAAAAAAACAAGGGGACCGAATATACGACCAAGTGGTGCTCCACTGAAAGAGATTTTTTTTTCCCACAAACACACAAAAATTTACTACTGTATATCAGGGTTTTAGAAATAAAGTAAAATTTTATTTAATATTATTATTTTTATTTATAATTTTTTATTGGGTTGAGAAAAAAAAAAAACACAAGGGGACCGAATACACGACCAAGTGGTACTCCACTGAAAAAGATTATTTATTTTTGCATAAAGCAAGAAAAATTAACTACTATATATCAGGGTTTTACAAAAAAAGTTACATTTTATCTAATTTATTTTTAATTGGGTTGAGAAAAAAAATTTAAAAAAATAAGGGGACCAAATACACAACCAGGTGGTGCTCCACTGCAAGAGATTTTTTTTTTCCCCACAAAGACACAAAAATTTACTACTGTATATCAGGGTATTAGAAATAAAGTAAAAATTTATTTAATATTATTATTAATATTTTATTGGGTTGAGGAAAAAATAAATAAATAAATAAGGGGACCAAATACACGACCAGTTGGTACTCCACTGAAAAAGATTATTTATTTTTGCATAAAGCACCAAAAATAACTACTATATTTCAGGGTTTTAGAAATAAAGTTACATTTTATCTAATATTTATTTTTAATTGGGTTGAGAAAAAAAATTAAAAAATAAGGGGACCAAATACACGACCAGGTGGTGCTCCACTGAAAGAGGTATTCAAACTTTCTTAAAGATGCATCCACATCAGGCTTTTTTGTAAATTTAAGTTTTTTTTTTCAACAAATGTAGCAGATAATTAATTTAACAGCTCTTTGCTTGAAGAACGCGTTACTTTATAACATATTTATCATCATTACTTTTGTTTTTTTGCAGCTGTTCACATTGTTGCACATTTGTTCAACTTTGAGTTTTTCATGGACGCCCAGCTGAATCGCAACGACAGCCACCTTCCCTTCATCCTGTCTGAAATCGGCACCAGAGACAACGCCTCCTTCCTGAACCCCATAAGGAGCAATGAGACGGTGAGGCACGGTTCCCCCGGCGACAGCAACTCCTTTCTGTTTGCCGTTTAGTCATAGGGGGGCAAACCTAGAAGCTTCCAGCGTTGCTAAATGTTGAGAAATCTCAACTCTGTTGCAAAATCACGCCTTAGTGAGAAACAATACAGAAGTTATATGAAGTAACACTTCCTCTTTGAGATAATTGCCTTTGGTCATTAAGCAAACTTCTTTTTTTAAATTCTCGTAATTCTTTTGAAAAGCCGTGACACTTTGATGACAAATGCATCTTTTTTTTTTTGGTCATGGAAACATGTTAAATTGTTTCTCATGACTTTCCTTTGAACACCAACCTTGAGGTGTTCTGGTAAATGCATCATCTCTTCATCATCTCTCCATCTGCCTGGTTTCCATTGCTAATATAAAATATTAAATATTCAGACAATAAATGCAGAATTCATCCTTTACTGGCTTTTAAAAGTAGAGAGAGTCTAAATGTGAGACGTCTATATTATGGATCCATGGTATTTCTGGCTGGAGAATGAGCTACACACAGATTTAAAGCCCCACACTGGAAAAACGACCTAGAAATAAGAAAAAGTTTCTTAAATTAAGTGTATTTACCCTTAATTTGAGTAGGTAAATGA